TAAGAAAAATTGTAGTGTCGTGTTTAAATACAAATAAATGATCCTCAAATTGTTAACATTCCACAAGTTTTCGTTTCTATAAACATTGACATCGTGTTCGTATACATAAGCATAGCAAATTAGTTTGATTATTAGATAGGAAAAATAGGTTTGTTTGTTAATACAAATAGCTGTGCAGATATAAAAAAATTTTGTCATTAAATAAGAATAGAAATAATGAGTAACCCAAATAACAAACTCGTTAAATTAACATCTCTTATGCGCAGTGAGCATATCACTGAGTATTTGGAAAAGTATAAAGTTTTTAACCTAGATATGTGTTTGCATTAAAAAAAACCATAATCCAAGATATTCAAATCAGTAATTATTTTCCAAACAAAATCAGTAATTATTTTCCAAACAAATATCCAAAAAAGTACAGAAACAGATCAGAACATTGCAATCAACACCAATAGAGTAAATTGAAACAATCAATGATGAAAAAGGACAATTTCGTTAAAAAACTGTCTGAAAAAGAAAAATACGAAACAGAATACACTTGTTGAGCTCTGTCGCTTTCGAGACACGTGATTACCTTTCAGTTAATGTAACATATCAACACTTGCATGACTTTTTTTCGAAAATACGTTAAGAAATAGAAAGAGCATCGAAAAACGAGGCTGTCTAGCTGATTTGTACCAGGGGGCCTAGCCCCCGAATATTTATCAGATTGCCGAGTGTTTTGATGTTCTTTCTCTTTTGTATCATAGTCAAACATACAAACACGTTCCCTGTTGTCACAATATGAAACCCCAGAAAAAAGTAACCAATGAACGAGCATCTGAATACGATATTTCTATCGCTTTCCTTTTCCTTGCCGTCACAGTAAGTATACCCCAGCAAAAAATTAGCCAATCAATGGGCATGCCCTGGAGTGCGGGAAACTTAAACCTGCACTCCAGTTAACGCACTGTGCATGTATATGTATACGATTTAACTCTGACACATTTTCAACAGAAAGGTCCCAAAACTATGATACAATGTCTTGATAATGGAACCTGAGAGGCAGGTCTCATATATCTAACAGTAATACATATGAGAGTCCTTCACTGATAAAACTTTGCACGGTGCGTTCTGCAAATGCGAGTTAAACAAGAGGATCGATATAACATTAAATCTAAACAGAGTCCAGCAAATGTGGATCATCTTTACCTAGTCTGCCAATGTTAAGAACTGTATTCATGTGTTTGTTACAGTAAATTTCCGAAATCAGCTATTTCAGGAAATAACCGATTTTTTTAGGTAGTTAAAGAAACGCCAAAAATGATCATTAGTTTCATACATCTCTAACTAAATATCCAGTTATTTCAGAAAAAAGCAATTTAGCTTACAGCTTCATGCTTCCAGAATATTTCAAGAAAATCAAAATGTAAGATTTGCATGTTATAAACCCACCGCCTCTGCGAAAGCTATAACCAGTGTGTGAAAAGCTTATTGGTGTTGCTTATATATTTATTAAATATTCAAGATTTCATGAAAGTTGGAAAATGAAAATACTTATGATTTATCATTTTCATTAAAGCCATAATTCATGAAGACTTTTTTTGCTTTGCAGTACAAACGTGAAAATCCATTCGGTTATACATGTACATGTACTTAAAAAAGAATAAAGATGAAAACATAAAGCTGATCTTTAGAATAATCTTATTTTTTATTTTTATACCCAGAGTAATGAAATCGTTTGCATGGTTTGTATGGTTTAATTATACACCCGGTGTGTAATCGCTCCTGGTTAATTTGGATTATTCTTTGTCGCCGAACTTATTTGGATTTTAAGCACCTAGCTGATTCAATAGCGGTTAGAATAGTTTGTGACTTATTCTTTCCAAAGCCAGATTTTGAGAAATTTTTGTTCTGGGTCAGAATCCCGCTTCTAGAGACGAGATATTGCCCACACACAAATAGCACAATATCTAGTCGCGTAGTACAATTAGTTAAGACTAACTTGTGACTCAAATGTTCACTTATTTTCACCAAATGATGCATGATACAACTATCACCACGGAACATTACAGTGTTAAGTTTATCTTCAAACACCAACGTTTTTCTAAACACCAGTTTGCTTTGAAAGATTTAGACGAGATTTTTCTAAAAGCAAATATAAATTCTGTATAGACAATGCCTTTTACCCTGATTCAAGAGAAATAAAAGATAACAGTAGGTGAATTATTGGTAAAAAAAGCCCTACATGACCGCGAAAGTAAATCAAAATAAAGCAAAGCCTAAAACCATAAATTTGTTTTAAAAAATGGAGTCAATGTGATTGTTGAGTGGAAATAATTAACGAGTGGACAAAGTGTATTGGATCTTTTGTAGAAAGATCCAATACACTTTGTCCACTCGTTGATTATTTTTGTGATATTGACATGTCAATATGATATTATTACACTGAACTAGACATTGTTTCTTAACTATATTTGCACAGGCGCAATGTATGATGCATTATTTCAAATGTCTTATTTTATTTTATTGTATTTTACTTAATGAAAGGTCCAGTCAACATGACAGAATGATGTTATCTTAAGAAAGAAAATAATAACCCGTTATCTATTTTAATGCTGAATAATCTGAACAAAGATAATAATAGATATGTATCTCAATGATAAATATCTAAATTCTTTCTCTCAGTACATCATACATGAAATATGTGGTATATAAACAGTAATAATTTGTAAAAACGGCAGTACATAGCAAGTCATTCACTCAATACATAAAAAATAGGATAATTTTCTATTGTTTAGAAGATTTTCTTTTTTCGATCAGTGTGAAATGTAGGATTTTGAATGTAACATTCATTGGTGTATTAAATAGAGGTTAATTAAATTTTGCACGTACATCTTTTTTTCTCACGCCAACAGTATCGCTTCAAAATCACCGTCATGTGATGAAAGAGTGCTTTTTGTATCTTATGTCGTCCAATTTTTATTTTTACTTGTAAATAAATAATCATTTGGATAACTATTCAACAAGAAGGCAGCAACCTTATATGGGTAACCGAAAATTCAGCATTGTAACCAAATGACATTATGCCATCAATGACATTCTGTCTTACACACTGTTAAACACTTTACAATCATATTTTCTTTCCGTCGGGTCGCGTTTGCGTATGTAGAAGATAATGGCAAAATATACATGAGTATATATTTAAAAAGAATAGCATGGGTCATGATTAAGAATTTGTTTGTATGATATGGTTCTTAGACAAATGGGTCACTATAAGGTTTACATTTCAGAGGAATAAATGACATATGCTTCGTATTTTAAACGGAAACTTTTATCGATCCTGATACCAGTTTTTTGCTTTTGTTTGAACAGCTTGATGCTATATGAATTTTTGATTTTTGTTGGTGTAACGGTCTTAAAATCTCTAAGATCTAAGCTGTCATCAAGAAACAAGTGGCATAAAAGAGGAATTGCTCTGTGGACGTTGGCTTTTCAAAACAAAATCTTCTACATATACAATATATAAATATTTATATATCTATATACAATGGCCAAAAAAGACTGATGACGTAATCTAATAATAGTAAAAAAGTTTTTAAAAAATCGTTCATGGTAATTTAAAAAAAAAACAACTAAAATCACATAATTGTCATTTATCCCCCTAAGGTATAATACAGTAACAAGACATTCACTTTCTTTCAATTTTAATTTTATATTATTCAAATACATGACTTATAAGTAGTTAGAAATGTGAGAAAAATGAATACAGTTCATGTAACACAAACTTTCTCAGGGTAAAAACAATCAGTTGTTTGTTTGGTTACTCTGACTATCTGAAGTGAGCCTCTCATTAAGGTCAGCAGACGACACTGTTTGTAGTTCATGACAACCCGGAACTCGATGTAGCGGAACCCATCTGAGGAGGAGGAAAATATGACTTAAGAGAAATTTATATATCAAACCAAATAAATAAGTTTCTGTACTTTTAATCACAATATTTAACAAAACATATTATCAAGAACTTATATCACAAATTTAAACCAAAAATAAGTAACTGTTGGACGAATAATTGATTATTTAACAAATTTAATTACGGCGGAATTAAATCCTAAGGGTTTATCAAAGGATCGGGTGCCCAATATAACAATCTTACTTTTGAGTGTCACCTAAATTATCCCCTGCAGCCGAGTTATACAATTCAGTAGACGGATGCGATATACCGGTTGCTTCCCGCGGAATTATATTAAGTGTGCCGGGAGGTTGATCAGATCCTGGCACCAACATCATTGCCCGTTTGAATTGCTTTTTGACGTCGCTGTTGCTAATAACATTGACGTCAGATTAGAAGAGATTCGTTTTCATTGGTGTATAAACCAGACAAGGAAATATCCTGGAGATATTGAATGAGCATAATAACCTGCCGTGTAGTTTTTCATGGGTTTGAAATAGCGGCATCCCGGTCATGTATGGGTGGTAAATGCTCATTTTGTGTTACAATATTTGTATCACAAGCGACCTTTTAAAAAAGGAATATTGCACCAAAGAGGTTGAGCCGATTGTATATTCTATTCAACATATCTGAAGTCTCCATTGAACCAAGGATAAAAATACATTGTAGATCTATATCCTTGTTTCAAAAAAAAAATTACTTATCCCAGATTTTACTTTTATCTTTTATTTGTTGCGTACACACCCTGCTCAATATACTCATGCTCATATATATTAGTATATAGTGTAATGGGAATTGACTTAGAATTCATTTCTGCCTTAAGATAAATGTTTTCTACCATCAAACACATATTTTGTGAACATTCAATGAGCCGTACCCCTTTACAAACGACTCCTAATTAGAAGCATAGGCCCTGTCAAATCACACCCATGAAATAATGTTGATTATGATAATCATGAATGGTATTACAATTGCGTATAATTTAACTTTATTGTTCTAAGAAATAACTTGATCACATCATACTTGATTTGCTTATTTCGAAACAATTTTAATGTTTTGCAGACGACAACGATATGACATAAAATAATATTTTAGTCATAATCACGAACAACAACAACCACGACAACAACAACAACAACAAAGTTGCAGACATCAAAAATGGTCAAAATAAAGGGTCTTGCATTCGAAGATGTTCACAAAAGACTGAATTTTCTTTATCAGGTGTAGATCTATAAGACATCTACTACTCGTATCAATGATGTTTTACATATGGTCATAAAATCGTGAAACAGTTTAGTTTCCAAGTGAAATAGAAATCGGTTAACACACTATTTGAACAGGCTGGTGAAAAATGCCCGATTGGGCTTACAACATAAAAACTCATACATCTTGAAAAATAATAAAGATATTTCTTTTAAACTTTGTTTGTTTATTGAGCAAAATATATGACATAATCATAATGTAATAATGAAAATATTTGGTTACTGTCACTTTTTGTGAGAATTATTTCCCCTTTCTCATGTTTATAAACACACAAAATATTTGAAGTCCTTAAAAAATATGTTACATATGCAAAGTATAAATCAAAATATGTTAAATAACTTTTTTTATGCTCCAATTCATTGCACCAACCAGGGTTCGAATTTAGCAATATTTACTAGTAGCTAAAATTAGCTTGTGAATTTTATGCTTACTAGCTAAAATGAAAAGTGACTAGCAGAAATTGAGAACGCAAATTTATTAACATATGATGTACAAATCATATCAAGTTCTTGGGCCATATGGAGTGGTAGTTGCAGTGTTCTAAATTAGCAGTAGTCTGATAGCCCCTGACTACTAAATTTCTCATCGGGCTACTAACTTTTAACAGTAACAAGCCCGACCAGGCTACTGTATTTTCAGAGGCATTATCAACAACTGTTTTGAACAAATGAGTCATGCTAGTGAAATGTCTCTTGGGCTAGTGAATATTCCAATCTGGTAGTCCGACCAGCCTAGTCGATTCACAGGCTTCGCGAAAGTTGCCAGACCGTCGGACATGTCCGACAAAAATCAGGCCGGTCCGATATTTTTTTCCGAGTTCCGGACCTTATGTCCGGTACGAATACCGGGATATATCCAAGACCGATCAAGACCGAGTTTTCTCCCTTGAATAAAAAAATGTAAAACGAGTTTTGATTCGCCGTTTCATTTTTAGTGTCCAATCAAATTCTAGATACATACAACTTTCGGTGATCTTGTACTCGGAAGAAAATGTCGGTGTAACTGCATTATTAAATTATTACGTTGACGCTACGCCAGGCAAAAAACGTAAATTATCTAATGAAGGAAAAAAGCGAAACAAAAGAAATACGAGTCCAGGCGCCTGCCGAGAAAATTTGTGGGTAAATGGAAAAATGGCCGCTCGTGGTTGGTTTTTAACGCGGAAGAAAATAAGATGAAATGTACATTGTGTCATAAATTTTATAAATATCATGTGATGATGATGATTTTGATCATGAATGTTTAAATTTCCAGACAGAGTCCATCAATCTGGATAAACTGATGTTTTATTTAAGAGAATAAAATTGTGTTGCAAATCTTTAAAAGTTCCTATGTCTTTAAAAAAACACAAAGGTATAACCATATACATATATTTGGGAAAAAAAATCGGTCAGACAAAAGTTCTTTCGGTCAGACAAGAATTGAAAGTTTGTCTGACCGAATGTCAGGCAAATGTTTCAGCTGTTTCGCGAAGCCTGGATTCAGATCCTAATTTCTTACACTGTAGTTGGCCTCTTCTTTCTCTGACCATTGAGCCACCATCTCCTGACTGCTGGTCTAGGATCACAGTTGTTGAACCTGATGTTGGCAGCAGAAATCGTCATAGGGTGTCCATCATATCCACACCAAAGTTACATCTCCAGTCAGTTTTGATTTGTTTCATAGTTGATAATGCACGTTCACATGAGGCATTGGATAAGGTGGTCGTTATAAAATGAAAACAGTCATAATTAAGCTTCTGAAAAAAAAATGACCTCATTATGAGACAATAATGCCATGGATCATGTAATGTTGAAATAGAATGTAAATGCTGGTGATAGCCTTCTTAAATAAATATGGGCCTAGGCATTTTCTACCAAAAAAAAAAAAAAAAAAAAAAAAATGGCGATACCCCTCCCTAGCTTGGGCAGTTTTTATTGCACCCTCCACCCACTCCCAAGACCATATAAAAGATTGGACATTACAAGACAAACAGAATGGACAGAAAGGGGTAAGACCATATTTATAACTACATATGATCTTTCCATTCTGGTTAATAAATAGACAGTAAATGTAATTAAATATGAATACCTTAGATACACTGTCTGCAGGTGCAAAAAAAGTCAAGCATAACGGGAATCGGATTTTCCAGAACATGTCTTTATAAAGACCAATCAGAGACGGTTACAAAATTATCTACCAAATGTAGTCGCGGGTACCGATTGACGTCATTTTTTCACGCACATGCCCAAAAAATGGGCAACCTGCAAACAATCCGATTTCCGCAATTGTATTCACAGCGAAAATGCACGAGACTATCTTTATTTTTTGGCGTTATAAGTTTTGTTTCAATTTTTTCACAAACATTTATTGAAAAGAAGACTTTTATATATTTGGGTCCTTTTTTAGCTCACCTGAGCTTGCTCAGGGTGAGCTTTTAGGATTGGTGAATGTCCGTCGTCCGTCGTACGTCCACAATTGCTTGTGAACACTCTAGCGGTCGCATTTTTGCCTCAATCATCATCAAACTTGGTCAGGATGCTTATCTAGTTGAAAGCTCAGATGAGTTCGAACATGGGTCATCTCGGATGAAAAACTAGGTCACAAGAGCTAAAAATAGAAAAACCTTGTGAACACTCTAGAGGTCACATTTTTGACCCAATCATCATCAAACTTGGTCAGGATGTTTGTCTAGGTGATAGCTCGGATAAGTTCGAACATGGGTCATCTCGGATGAAAAAGTAGGTCACAGGAGCTATAAATAGAAAAACCTTGTGAACACTCTAGTGGTCACATTTTTGAACCAATCATCATCAAACTTGGTCAGAATGCTTGTCTAGTCAATTGCTTGGATGAGTTCGAACATGGGTCATCTCTGATGAAAAACTAGGTCACAGGAGCTAAAAATAGAAAAACCTTGTGAACACTCTAGTGGTCACATTTTTTGACCCAATCATCATCAAACTTTGTCAGGATGCTTGTTTAGATAATAGCTCGGATGAGTTCGAATATGGGTCATCTCGGATGAAAAACTAGGTCACCGGAGCTATAAATAGAAAAACCTTGTTAACACTCTAGCGGTCACATTTTTGCATCAATCATCATCAAACTTGGTCAGGATGCTTATCTAGTTGATAGCTTGAATGAGTTTTGAACATGGGTCATCTCGGATGAAAAAGTAGGTCACAGGAGCTATAAATAGAAAAACCTTGTGAACACTCTAGTGGTCACATTTTTGAACCAATCATATCATCAAACTTGGTCAGAATGCTTGTCCAGTCAATTGCTTGAATGAGTTCGAACATGGGTCATCTCGGATGAAAAACTAGGTCACAGGAGCTAAAAATAGAAAAACCTTGTTAACACTCTAGTGGTCACAATTTTGACTCAATTGTCATCAAACTTGGTCAGGAAACTTGTCTAGGTCATTGCTGGGAATAAATCGAACATGGGACATCTCGGATGAAAAACTAGGTCACAGGAGCTAAAAATAGAAAAATCTTGTTAACACTCTAGTGGCTACTGTTGTGATCCAAATATTCTGTTAATTGGTCTGAAAGTTTGTTTTGATGATTTCTAAGTCAAGATCGAACATGGGTCATCTTGGATGAAAAACTAGGTCACACCGCCCAAATATGGAAAAACCTTGTTAACATTCTAGTGGTCAAATTTTCGACTCAATTATCATCAAACTTGGTCAGGATGCTTGTCTAGGTAATTGCTTGGATGAGTTCGAAATCGCATGTGAAACTAGGTCACCGGAGCTAAAAATAGAAAAATTTTGTTAACACTAGTTGCTACTGTTTTGATCCAAGTATCCTGGAAATTGGTCTGAAAGTTTGTTTTGATGATTTCTAGGTCAAGTTTGAATATGTGTCACCTGGGTAAAAAACTAGGTTGCACTGCTCAAATATGGATAATCCTTGTTATACCCCCGCACAACAAAGTTGTAAGGGGGGTATACTGGAATCAGCTTGTCCGTCCGGCTGTCCGTCCGTCCGGCCGTCCGTCCGTCGGTTTTTTCTTGTCCGCCCAATAACTTAAGATTCCTTTGACCCTTAGTCTTCATATTTGGCATGGAGGTTGGTCATGATTAGTAGATGATCCCTATTGATTTTGAGGTCACTAGGTCAAGAGGTCAAGGTCACAGGGGCCTTGACTTCAAAAAGCTTGTCCGCCCAATAACTTAAGATTCCTTTGACCCTTAGTCTTCATATTTGGCATGGAGGTTAGTCATGATTAGTAGATGACCCCTATTGATTTTGAGGTCACCAGGTCAAAGGTCAAGGTCACAGGGGCCTTGACTTCAAAAAGCTTGTCCGCCCAATAACTTAAGATTCCTTTGACCCTTAGTCTTCATATTTGGCATGGAGGTTAGTCATGATTAGTAGATGACCCTATTAATTTTGAGGTCACCAGGTCAAAGGTCAAGGTCACAGGGGCCTTGACTTCAAAAAGCTTGTCCGCCCAATAACTTAAGATTCCTTTGACCTACAGTCTTCATATTTGGCATGGAGGTTAGTCATGATTAGTGGATGACCCCTATTGATTTTGAGGTCACCAGGTCAAAGGTCAAGGTCACAGGGGCCTTGACTTCAAAAAGCTTGTCCGCCCAATAACTTTAGATTCCTTTGACCTACAGTCGTCATATTTGGCATGGAGGTTAGTCATGATTAGTAGATGACCCTTTTGATTTTGAGGTCACTGGATCAAAGGTCAAGGTCATAGGGACTTTGACTTCAGAAAGTTTGTCCACCCAAAGATTCCTTTGACCCACAGTCTTCATATTTGGTATGGATGTTGATCATGACTATAAGGTGACCCCTATTGATTTTGAGGTCACTGGGTCAAAGGTCAAGGTCACAGGGACCTTGACAAAAAAAAGCTTTTCTTCTCAATTGCTAAAGAATGTCCTGTCCGCAATGTATTGATTTTGACATTTGAAGCATGTAGAATACATAACTTAGCAATGCACTGGCTTAGTAACCTCAGATTTGGCAGGGAGGTTGTCCTTGAGCTCTAAATGGCCACTGTTGATTCTGACAAAGTGGTATGCGGGGGTATTCACGCCATGATAGTGGCAGTTCTAGTTAACACTGTAGTGGTCACATTTTTGACTCACCTGTCATGAGACTTGGTCAGAATGCTTGTCTAGGTAATTGTTTGGATGAGTTTGATAAGACATTTGAGTGCCCTCTAGGGCCATCATGGCCCTCTTGTTTTATTCACTCGCGATATATGCGAGTGACTTTCATTGTTACTCGCTATTCAGAATTTCTACAAGCTATTAGCGTGCCTAAATTTGAACCCTGCCAACACCTGTCAGCATACATTTCATTCAGTTTCCGAAGAAAACTTCAAAGTATAATATTCAGTGTCAAAATATATGTGCCAGAAACAGAATATTAAATCCAAATATATAGAAATTAGGTACTTGCGCAATAATCTTGAGCAAAATGAAGTTGTTGGACACATTTCTGTTAAGAATTTTACATTACAAAATATTATTTAAGGACTTCAAAAATTATGTGTTATATAAACATGAAAAAAGAGGAAATAATAAGATAAGATAAGATAAAATAAGATAAGATAAGATAATCTTTATTTATAGTCAGTTACATAAAAACATATAAACATTAGCTATATAAGCTATTTTCTGACATAACTGACTATCCTTTAACAATACAAACAAACAATCTGTATAAAAGAAAATATATAAAAGTATTAAGAAGATCAATGTACATTTATGAATGACTCGGTATAACAAATAAGATTTATAAGCACATATAAATATGGGTAAGATAGTATTAATTGATTAAAAGCAAATATAACACTACAATCAAACATCACATAAAATTACATCATATAAGAATTCTATTTATGTACACAACCCTAAAATCAGAAATAGATTTTTTTTTTAAATTTAAAATTTTCTAAAATAAATTTAAAATAAATGATTCAATCTTATTTTATTTTAATATGGTTGACCTAAAGTCCAGCATGGTGCTTGAGCATATATCAGAAGCAGCATCTGATATATACTCAATCATGAAAATATGGGTGTAACTAAAACATGTACAAGCATCATAATAAAATTTAAAATGTTTGTGTAACAGTTGCTGATCTGAGCTTGCCTAGACAAAGTCATGGTCTAGGTTAATATATTAATTAAAACCAAATTAAATTAGAAGGAGACATAAAAAGGTAAAAAAAAAAAAAAAAAAAAATAAACTGTAAAAAGCTATTGTCTCCTTAATGGGACATGTGAAAAGCTGATCAGCAGCTGCCACACATTTAAACACTAACACACACTGACAAATGACTATACAAATATACACACAAAATACCTGTTGATGTGAAAAGAACTAAAGTTAGATTTTCTGGTGAATGACCTAAGGGCTCTTCTTGCACTTCATGACAACAACTAAAATACTTGTATAACTGTACATTTCAGGCAGCATACCAAAGTCTGATGAGAAATCCTGAAGATCTAAGCTTATGTAGGTTCCATATCAATACCCTGATGGTTATTGCAAGGCGGCAGGGAATTCAGCTGTAAGTGATTCTATGATCATATTTGTAGGTTCATACAGTATATGTAGTATATATGTAATAAATTTAAAAGATACAAATACTAAATTGTTGAAATTTCTTACATTTGATGTTTTATCGTCTTCAAAATTGCATTGTCTGTGAGGGAGCCAGGTCTTGGCAATTGATTATTATTACCTTAATTTTTAGTTCAATAATTCTTTGACAGTATAATTTTTAAAGAAATCATGATAAGATGTAAATTCATTTCTTTTTCATTTCTGTGAGTTGACAGAAAGCTTAGCAATATCATTATTGTTGTGAAATTGTTCAAGTTAAAAATTTCAGGCACCCTGATATCAAGAGATTAATGTGTAAAAGATGTTGTGTGTTACTAGTGCCTGGTGTTACTGCAATTTATAGAGTCAAAAGTATGAATATAGTTCTCAAGTTTCTAGATTAATTTTCTTAAACATTTAGTTTAAACTGTATCAATGGCCAAGGTTCTACTGATTTTGTTTTACAGTACATTCATTGCTTTCTGAAGGTTCTGAAACGACTTAATTTTCTTTATTTCATTCTTTCAAATTTAAGCTTCAAATATAGACTTTTTAGCTCATCTGCCACAAAGTGATCGCTTTTTGTCCGTCGTCCGTCCGTTGTCCGTAAACTTTTACTTTAAATGACATCTCCTCATAAACCGCTGAGCCTTTGTAGGTCACCTTAAAATTCGTTCAAAGAATTTAATTCCATGTAGAACTCTGGTTGCCATGGCATCCGAAAGAAAAAACTTTAAATATCTTCTTTTAAAAAACCCAAAGAGCTAGAGCTAAGATATTTAGCATGAAACATCTTCTAGTGAATGTCTATCAAGTTTGTTCAAATAAAAGCCCTGGGGTCAAAATTTGCCCCGCCCCGGGGGTCATTGTTTTTCCCTATATGCATATAGTAAAAACTTATGAAATCTTCGTTTAAAGAACCCAAAGAGCTAAAGCTAAGATATTTAGCATGAAACATGTTCTAATGGGTGTCTACCAAATTTGTCCAAATAAGAGCCCTGGGGTCAAAATTGGCCCTGCCCTGGGGGTCATTGATTTTATATATGTGTATATATAGCAAAAAATTAAAAAAATTCTTTGAAAAAAACCAAATAGCTAGAGTTAAGATATATTAAGCATGAAACATCTTCCAGTTAGTGTCTTCAAAGTTTGTTCAAATAAAAGCCCTAGGGTCAAAATTGGCCCTGCCCCGGGGGACATTGATTTTCCTTATATGTGTATAGCAAAAACTTAAAAATCTTCTTTGAAAAAAACCAAATAGCTAGAGTTTAGATATTCATCATGAAACATCTTCTAGTGAGTGTCTTCAAAGTTTGTTAAAAAAAAAAAAGCCCTGGGGGCAAAACTGGCCCCGCCCTAGGGGTGTCATTGCTTTGAACTATATGTGTATAGTTAAAACTTAAAAAATCTTTTTTTAAAAAACGAGCTAGACCTTAGATGTTTAGCATGAATTATCTTGTAATGGGTGTCTACCAAGTTTGTTCAAATAAAAGCCCTGGGGTTTAAACTGGCCCCACTCTGGGGGCCTATATACAGGTGAGTGACGTCAGGGCCATCATGGCCCTCTTGTTTGAGAATCTTTCTTATCATTATTGTTGAATTGACAAACATTGGGTAAAAGATAGAAAGTTGACCAGTTTTATGAGGATTTTATTTGAAGTTGTTGGTAGTTCTTACTGTCAGAGTGTAAGAACAATCTCCAAAAACTTGTAGGTTTTAACAACATTATACTTTGATCCTAGAAAAACGACAGAAGCAAACAGTTGTGACATGTCTAGAATGTGGAACATTTCGTCGCTATGTTTACAATAGAAAGACTGTTCCTTGGATGGATAGACCTGAAGCTTGGGTTGATACAATAGTTAGTGGACAGCCTGTGACAGTACAGCAACATAAAGGAGGAACTGACAAGGTAATGGTTTGACATATGAGCCTAGATGCAGGTGTACACATGCACATACTTGCACACCAACTCACAATATGGTCTCATCAAAATCAAAGTACACGATGTCAATAAAATAAGAATGAATATTAAAAGATCTAATTTAGTAAATATATGTGATGAAGGGTTTTTTAATATGTATGTGACAAAATTATAATACTTGACGATTTGTTAACTACAAGGTGTCTGAAATGGTGAAAGACATACATTTTACTATCAAAATAAATGGATAAGTCTTTAATTGTAGTCATAATTTAGTAACCTTTTTCTAAATTATACCCTGTCAGGCTGATTTATTGTGCAATTTTTATAGCAACTTTTTTGTCAGCCAGGATGTGCTGTGATATTGTGACCTTAGTGCAGTAATCACCAATGGGTTAACTCCTTATATACTATGCTCAAGTTAGAAAATATTGATAATTGCTACAGAGTCTCTCTGTAGATATAAAATAAACATGTTTTGACTTCACACAGTAGATATGTTATGTTTACAATTCTACACACTATAGGTGGTCAAAAAATAAATATACAAAAATCCTGGCAGTTTTTTTAAGAAAAGATTAACTTTAATTGACCTATAATAGGGAGCTCAGCTTCCCATACATAGTTTATTTATTCAAATTAGAAATATTCAGTAAGAATTTCATAAATTTTAACAAAATTCGATGATTGTAATATTTTACTCAAGGATTAGCGTTGTATATCTTTAAAAGGAGTTGACCCATTACTGCACTAATGTAACAGTATATTATTTTATCACATTAACCATGGCATTTAATAATAACGATATTACACTAGTGTAATAACACTTTGATGTGACGTCATTTGTGTCATATATAAACATAGTGTTAAAGCATGCTAATGTTAGCATTACACCAGAGGCTCGCATAATATGATTTTATTCAACTTGTTCAATAAATTTAGTATGAAATCTACACTCATTTCATATCCTCTATGTAAGAAATGTAATAAATTATGTTAGAACTAAGTACAATCAGTAATAAGATTGTCAGTTATGCATTGTATTCATTGTATAACATATAACATGTTTTTTGGGTTTTTTTTGTTGTAGGGTGAAGGCAAGAAGAAAGGAAAGGGAAAGCAGCCAAAAATAACTGCTGCTGCATCAAATGAAAAATTAAAGAAAGATCTTGATAAAGATAACATTTCATTTTCAAAAGAACATAATTCAGGACAAAGTGTTTTTTCAATAACTAAATTGAAATCTTCAACTAACAGTTGACCCATGAGAAAGTTAGACAGAAAAGGTCAGTGAGACAGCATGTTTGTTTATGTTATACATGTTGCCACGAAGTCCCTGCATAAAATAGACATAGACTAAGAGTAACAAAAGATCGGACACAATCTTGTTGTGCAGGGGCTTCTTTGAGCGGTGTTATGTATGATTGTTATGTTAATGTTATAAATGAATTATATAAAGTGCCATAACTTTTTTCAAGCTTGGATACAATATGGGTAACAAAATTTCCAACTACGTTGTAGAGGTTTCTTTATGAATTTGCAGAGTAGAAAATAAGAAAATTGTAAGCCAGATATTTACCTAATGATGCATTTATGTCACAGAATTATGAATTGATAAAATTAAAAATTTAATAAGGAACTTGTTGATTTGTTTTGTTAAGATTTAGCCTTTTACACATAGAAGGATTTAGCCCTGCAAGAATGGTAGAACACCCAACTGTAATTAACACCTGTCTTTCAAGTTTGTCAACAGTCATAATTGCATATATACAATGTTCTACACAAATCATGTAAAAACTTTGAAACATAAAAATTTAATTTGTATAAAGGCTTTTATAGGAAAATAGAGTGTGTTTGCGGAAATCAAAGTTGAACACACATTTGATACTGCACAAGTCTCAGGTGGAAGAAAAGTTCAAATTATATCTCTAGGGCATTTTTAAGGGGTTATTGTTTGTATAATGTGCATCAGTACACAAAGAAGTATCTGTTGGTTTTTTTTGGAAGTTGGAATTTTGCAATAAACGAGGGGTGTCCTGGATGTTTGCTGACACAGTCAGGCCAAGGCATTTTTGGCTTGACTTTTAGAAAAATGGTAGAGTTATCGTACTCACCTTGGCATCAGCTTTGGCATTGATGTAATTTTTCAGTTAAAGTTTTGCACTCAACATCATATCTCATCAACCACTGGTGATGTTAGCTTGTAACTTCATACATTTTTTGAGAGCATAATAAGAGGTCACTATCAAAGGCCCATGACATTAGCTTGCATTTGTCCTTTTTGAACTTTAAAAATTCATGGCTTAAGTTTTGAATGCAACATTTATCTTTACAAATACAAGTCGACAAGATCATAAAATTAATTTGAGTCACTTTCCAAGACCTGTAACTCTAGCATGGATTTTGACTGGAATGATGGCCCTTTTTGAATGTTTTTCATTAACATCAATCATCAAAACATTTTGGGTTCAAACCCTTTCAGGGGCAAGCCGTTGTTTCCTTGAGCAAGAAACTTTACATTCATTGCTTAGTTTTGATTGGTTCCAGGAGCCGATTTGAGTGTTTCAATAAGCTTATAGCTTTCAACACAATCAAACTAAAATAAATTTGTATGAACTTAAAACAGTTGGCATGCAACATCAATCTTCAAAACTACTGATGGTATTCTCTTGAAACTAAATACAAGTTTTCAGGATCAGGTTCACCATTCTGACAGCATTTTTGACTGAATTATTTCCCTTTTTAGTTTGAAAAATTCTTGGTAAAAAGTGTTGTGTGAAACATTATATTTCAAAACAACTAAAGTTGTTCACTTAAAACTTAATACAGTAGAACAACTATGTCTGAAACTTTGTTTTGTCCATTTTCTCGATATGTGAACGGCCATAAGAAAAAGGCCTGTATTGGTGAAATTTTCAAATATGTGATTCTGTGAAATTATGTGAAATTGAAAGTAAACAGTACAAATTAGTTTGTTTGATATCTTCCGAGACCCAGTATATCATGTTATAAACATGTGATATACTGAACATTTCAATTAGTTGGTTCAGTCATTGCTCTTTCTTTTTATTTCACCTGTTATAAATCACTGGTCAACATTGTGCTTCAAATGACAGAGACATATTTGTTTTTGAAAGAATTTAATTATTTCTCACTGTACTGATACTTGTTTTAAGCACAATTCTGTAAACTTCCAGGACTGTCCCTGTACATGTATGACCTTATTCATGTTCATGTGACTTCAAAACAATGACATACAACAAGAACTCTATTATCATAGTGGTAATACAGATAGTTTTATGTGCTGTTAAGGTCAATAGAGAACAGAGATTTAAAATTGATCAAATTAATGCTCTTTGATTGCTTATATGGAGAATCACGTCTGTATGTATTCTTGGTGGATTTAAATTTCTTAAAACTTTACAGTAAAATATGGTGTGAAGTTGTAAATGTTCTATTTATCCATGTCTGACCTAAATAAGGCACCATGACAGCTGATTTCTTCATTTTTGGGGCTCTGTCATCTGTTTTACTGGTTATTAGATTGGTGAATGTCAGCTGGCTGCTGGGTACCTAAGTGTAAACTCCTGAAAGCCTTCTTTTGTAAAGAATTGATGACAAAGTGCAAAAATCAGAATTTACAGGATTTTATACCTATGCAGAAAATGGCATTTTGGTCTCTTTTTTTTTTTTTTACATATGTGTAATGTACAGAGAAATATCTTGTCCATCTTTGTGATCACTCTTCATAGCCTCTTACTGGATTTTAACGACAGTTTTCACTAGAGTAATAACTAGAAACCCTACCGGTACTGTAGAACACATACTACACCTATTTTTTACCATGTGCAATCTTTGCTCTTTGTCATGGAGAATATAATAATTCAGTTTATCTATATAAAAAAACTAACTAGTGCTTGACAGCTGTTTCATGAAAAGGAGAATTTTGTCAGGCAATCCATTATTTCAATACAATAATTTTAGAAAAATGTTCAAAATTCCATAAATTAGGGGGAAAAAAACATAAAGAAAAATAAAAGCTTTGTTTAAATGAAGTTTTATTGGCAAGAAAATCAATATAAATCATGGCTTATTGTAATACAAACTATAATACATTATTTTATGTACCTGTACATTGCATTACAAAAGGGGTAATGCTATCATGAATTGCACAGCAAAACTAAAACTAAAACAAAGTTGTAAAAACAATGGAGATTGTTACAATATGGAGAAAACCTGAGAATGTGTGTAAATTCCTGAAAAAAGTGTTTCTAAAAAGAAAAGTTATTTGAATTAAAATGTATTTACTACTACTATTTTGTTTTCTAACATCAACGTGTATTTCTAAAATCAACATCTCTATATTGGCGTTACAATTGCCCCGATTTCATTTACAAACTGTCCTAAAATACGTATAAGGGTTTTCAATATCATGCAAATTATCTTTGCTCTAGTCTAAGCTTTGTATTTCTGGAGTACAAGATCTGTTTTTAATAATTATAAAGTTATTATTTATTCAAGTTGTCAAAGCCACCAGATTTCTACATGGAATCAAAATCAAAGTCTTTGAACACCTTTGCAAGTTTTTTTAACCAAAAGGAACACTTCTGCAAAGTTTGACTGGTTTTAAGAATTACCTGTATGTCTAATCTGTATGAATGTTAAAATGCTGGGGCGGCATAAAAAGATAACAGTTCAGTCTGATGGAAGCTTGAATCCAGTAATGTCACAGAAATTTCTGTATTCTGGCTTTCAATCCATTGTTGATTTAAGGGGGTTTATTATCATGCAGTCAATATTCAACATTATTATATGATCTAAATATATCTGCAATCTCATTGGTCCAAACAGTAGTGAACAGAACTTTTTATAAAATCATATTTACTGGGTGTAGTATCATATTCACTGGCTGAATTGGATTTTCCCAGTCTAAAAATAGATTGAGACTCATATTCAATGATCATACACCGTAGACTGTTAAATATGCGTGTTACTTAAAAAATAATTGTTGCTTTTTGTTCTTTATGGCATATTTCTCGATTAAAATATCAATACATTACCATTTTACTTAAAGGCTACACCGCAATGTTGAGTATAAACTTGAATTACTTTTGTATGCGCAGCGTTCGCGAAGTCGTTGCAACACGTGCGTCTTTTTTACCCGCGCTTCCCCGAGGCAAAATTTGTACATGTATATAAGGTTGTACTTTTTGTGATTTTTTTATTTCTTAGCCTATTCATATAGTAAAACAATTATTGACTAGTGAGCCATTGAATATGATGTGATATTCACCGGCAGAAAGTCATATTGACCTCGGCTATCGCCTCGGTCAATATGTCATCTGCCGGTGGATATCACATCATATTCAATGGCTCACTAGTCAATAATTGTATAATATAGTGCTAGTGATGTTGCACAGAATGTGTAAGCTGGGTCAGAGTTATACCAGTGGCACAGGCAGTCATGACCTGACAATTTATAGGGGTTAAGATAAAACATTGTTTCAGAACACCCTTAATATACAAAACAAAGACAAGACAAAAACATGTATTGCTAGGTAAACATATAATTGTTGCTGTATTATTATAGTTTGAACATAAAAAATTACTTTGAAGTGTATAGTAATGATAAATCAGAAGTGTGACAATTATAAACATCAGAGTTTTGACATACAAAGTAAAACACATATCTAAAATAAAATACAAATACAACATTTAACACATATCTTCAATATGGTTTCCATTTTGATGTGCGAAAAAAATATTAATTAGACAAAAATGCAGATTGAGACAGTCTTGAGCATAATTTTTGAATAATATTCCAGACCTTCATAAAAATAATCAGAAAAAAGATTGCATTTGAGAAAATGCTATGCCACCGCATTAATACAACACTCAATAGAAGTGTAGGAACAAATACTGTTGAAGAACGGGTCTTTTATTAACTTTGTATATTATTGTCTGGATGAGTCGGTACCAATGCAAAACCAACGTATTACTATAAACTGCTAGCATTCCCTTGCAGAAAGATAAGCAGACGACAGCCTAAATTTCATGACTACATCAAAGGACAACACAGTAAGACACTTTGTAAAAATCTAGGTCAGCTGATATCAAAGTTCACTTTACATCTTAATCTGTGCACATGGTTCAAATTTCATAGCTGTACATCAAAAGACAAGAAAGTAAGTCACATAATCAAAATCTAGGTCACTTGATATAAAAGTTCAGTTTTACAACTAAAACTGTGCACATGGTCAAAATTTCATTACTGTACATCAAAGGACAAGAAAGTAGGTCACTGTCCCCTTGGGCAAGGCAAAATTTTGACCCAAGGGTTTAATTCAAAACAATCTTGATACAGGTCCACCAAACAACATTTCAAGTCATAAATTTAAGCTGTAGCTTTCTCCCATTCAGAAAACATTTGTTTTATTTTCTGTTTTTATTATGTGATATAATGAAAATCACTGCCCCCAGGCAGGGCCGATTTTGACACCAGGGGAAAAATTTGAACAACTTGGGTAGAGGACCTACAGATGATATTATATAGCAAACATCAAAGCTTTATGCCTTGTACCTTCAGACAAAAATAGTTTTTATTTTGTTTTTACTATATGTACATAATGAAAATCAATG